AAGGTAGCCATACTAAGGAGATGGGAGAAACAGTTATCATTTTAGTGAGATAGTGTCTTTTCCTTCCCAGGAGCCCCACTTAGAGAGAACACACTACTGTGTAGCTCTAAGCTAGCCTGATCCCTTTGCCATGCCAGTCTCTACTGCTGAACACGATGGCCTAATCAAAAGGCCTGGGTTTCTCTCTGCCTCATCTTTCTCCTGCCTGAGGCTGACTGTTGTTTTCTCTCAATCTTTAATAAAACTGTCCCCAAGCTTCATTTTTCAATTCTTTTATTACAGAGACTAAGAACCCAAAGAGGGCATCCGTTTTCCTGGTAACATATGGCACCCAAAGTGGGACTCCCTAAAATCTCCAGTAACACTGTAAGATACAGTTATGAATGTGGCTAATATTTTACCAGAAACTGCATTTTCATGCTGGAGTAGGCAAAGTTAAATGTTATTTTTTTTTGGTACCTTGCTGTTTTTGTAATTTGGTGCAGTGTGTGTGTGGAGGTCAGAAAACTTCGATGCTCTTTCTTTCCAACATGGGTTCTTGGAGTGGAATTCAGGTCAGGCTTGGTGGCAGTGCCTTTACCAGATGGGCTACCTCAGCAACTTCAGAGCTTTCTTTAAATGTCAATTTTCAAGCTCCGCTATGAGGAAATTAGCTCCCCCTTAAACTTCTTCTTTGTGACTTTCTTTCTCCCCAGGGTAAAGTCTGCAGTTGTAATAAAGGTACTAGTGTTACACATTTGCTGTGTCCCCAGAGGTGCTGCCTGCTGTCGACTGAGGCAGCACTAAAATGAGTTAAGACTCAGCCATTACCATCAAGACTGTTGGTTTAAGAGAGAAGCCCATTACACACATAGCTGAAATAGCAGAAACAAAGTACAACTTAAAATGAAGTCTTAAAAAAACAAGAAGTGCATTCACATTTGATGCACTACTCAGGAAAGTCTGGGGAAAGTAGTAGCTAAGGTAAGCTAGACATAGTGGGCAGGATTTTGACAAGGAATGTATTCACATTCGAAACACCACTCAGGAAGGTTTGGGGAAAGCAGCAGCTAAGGTAAGCTAGACATAGTAGGTAGAATTTTTGACAGAATCCGAAGAACCTATCGATCAAGAGAAGGGAAGACACAATGTATCCTGGCTGACCGGTGGAGTTGAGTTGTCTAGGAAGGTTTTCTACCAGAATATAGTTATAAACAATATTCCCCACACTAGCCTACCATATTCCCTCCCACCCAAGAATATGAATCAGGAAACGAGATTGTTTCTGTAATAGGGAATGTTTGAGTATGTTTTAGTGTTTTGCATACGTACATGTTCCTGAGTGTATGTATGTACATGGGTGTGGATGGCTGGATTTTCTACCTCATTTTCTGAGATATCTCAATCTCTCTTACTCCTGAAAGGTCACAGGGTCTCATTGTGTAATTCTGGCTGACTGAAACTCATTATGTAGATCAGGTTGTCCTGGATCTCATAGGCTACCACCCCGCCTGTGCCTCCTGAACACTGGGATTAAAGGAGTGTATTACCACACTTGGCAAAGCAGAATCTCTCAATTGAACATGGAACTTGAATATGTGGTTTGGCTGGCTGGCCACCCTGCTCCAGGGACTCCCTTCCTCCATTTGCCCTGCACTGGTGGACTGCCATGAACACCCGACTTCTATGTGGTCTCTGAAAGTTTGAATTTTAGTCCTCATAGTATGTGGAAAACATTTTACCCACACAGTTATCCCCCAAGTCATGTTTCAGTTTTTAATGAACATAACCTTTTAACTTTAGTATGAGTTTAGTTTAGTATCAAGGATTGTTCACTGCTTGAGATGGAGTAAGGACTCAATAAAAAGCTATCAATGGTATAGGAAGTAAAGGTGGAAAAATGGTATTCCTGTGGCCTTGCATGAAGGAATGTAAACACTAATGAGAAAGAAAGTGGGCTACATTAAGGAAGATCACCTGGAAGTGTGAAGAAAGAAAGAGTACTATGAGGAAGCCCCATTGAGTTAGGGGGAACAGAAACATAAATCAACTAGGCTTGGTGACTGGTGCCTAGCACCTGAAAAGCTGATGTAGGAATATTGCCAGTTCAAGGCCAGCCTTGGCAACATATCAAGACTATGTCTTAAAAATACAAAGTAAGGACAATTGGAGAGATGGCTGAGCAGTTAAGAGCACTGGCTGCTCTTCCAGTGGACCTGGGTTCAATTCCCAGCACCTACATGGCAGTTCACAACTGCCTGTAACTCCAGACAAACATGTAGGCAAAATACCAATGCTCACAAAATAAAAATAAATTTAAAAAAAAAGACAAAGACAGGATATGATCTGACAAATGCAGATCAAGTTTTATGGGCCTCCCTAACTTGTCATCTCTGGCTCTAGCTCTCGTTTAACCAGGCAGTTCATTATACTGGTGGAGCCAGACTGCCGGGTTCCAACTGAGCTAGCTCTTCCACTAACAGTTCTATATGACCTTGGACAAGTTAACTGACCTTGGTGCCTTCTTTTCCCAACAAGAGAAAACTAACAATAGTGTCAAGGTCGTAAGGCAGTCTCAAGAATTCAATACACTGAATAAAGTGCTTAGGAGAATGTCTCTCACACACAATACAAACACAGCTCTTTAGTTAAATATTGTACTCTTAACAAATCAGAAACAAAAATAATATGGGGAAATGGTAGTCTATGACACAGACTATGAAAAATAAGACTTCAAAAGAAATGCCCTGACTCCCATCACTTTCCACCTATGCTCCACAGACTTCCCAGGTGCCACCAAAGTTCAGTCCCACTGGCTACCTGCAGTAGTATCTCCAAGAGGTCAGGTTCTTCCTATTCCTTCAGTTTGGAAAGGGATAGTGCCTAGATCCAAGAAAGTGCAGCTTAATGACTTAGAGGTGAATCTAAAACCCCTTTAAATGTAGTAAACGTTAAGTCCCCAAGAACACAGGCACTTTGTATGTATGAGTAAGGAAGATTGAAGGTGTAGGCACAGAAACGGGGGTCGGCTACTGAGTGACCCGAATACCCAGAGCAAGGTTCTAAGAAGACCTGGAACACACTAAACATTACAAGGCAAGGAGGGCAAAGACTAAGAATGCCAGGATTTTCCTATAACTTCAGGAAACAACTCTAATAAGTAATTTTCCGTGTAAGTCTGTAGGCGAAGGCAGCGGTCAGAGCGTTAGGAAGGTGATTAACAAATACACACTGGTTTTTTACCGATATGTATGGTTAAGAAAGGGAGGTTGGGACGGGAAGGTGATTTTAAGGACAAATCCCGATGTCAGGGTTTCTCTGGTAGGAGATCGAGGAAGCAGACGAAAAGGGCACAAACAGGGTGCCGGCGCAGTTTTATGTGATGTCCCCAAGAATATACACCTTCTGCAGGTCCTCAGAGTGTGGCCCCTCTCCACTGGCAATACCTGCGTCTCGGAGACTCTGTGATAAAGGCTCATTCTTGGGTCCTGCAGCAGGACCAATTACAAACTCTGCGGGGAGGGGGGCCTCGCAATCTGTTTTAACAAGTCCGCAGTCCACCACAGTCTGGGGACAGGCACCGCTTGTAAGGCTTGGGGGCAGGCAGGGGTCACACTTGCCCTCGGCCCCGCAGAGCATAGAGGCCCAGCCAGCTGCAGAGGACCCCGGCCAGGCAGACAGAGTGGGGGACCTGCCGGGGCCCAACAGAGCCCTCCCGCGGCCCCGGCCTTTACGCTCGCCGCCCAGCTCCCCCCACCCCCGGGACGGGGCGGACGGGTCCAACTCGCGCCAGGTCGAGGGGCGGCTCCAGCCTCTCTCCAGCCTTTCACCCCCGCCCCGGGCGGAGAGGCCGGAGGATGCGGCGGGGGAGGAGAGACAGATGAGCTTCCCGGGTACGAGAATCCGGGCAGCCTAGGGCTTCAAAGCGGCTTAAAGAGTCCTACCCCCGCCGAGGTCGTCGGTACCCCGGCTGCCACCCCGCGTCCCCGGCAGGCCGGGTGCGAACTGGCGCAGAGGAGAAATCTCGCGATAGCAGGC